CTCTCTCCCCTTCTCCCTCGCCCTCTTCCCCCTCTCCCCCTATTCTTCCTCCTGGCTACTCTGGCACTAAAACAGCACTTTCTCTACTCGCCGCACATTTGGTTAGGGGTGGGGGTGAGAGGGCACCGATCCGCGGGGCCGAAACACCCAAATCCCAACTCTCCAGATGAACGAGCAACTGGGCTGCTGCTCCCGGTCACCGACGCACACGAAACGTTCAATAAATCCACTGAGGGCTGGCTCCCCGTACCTTCCTCCCCTGCCCCTGCTCCCCAGGCCCCACCTCCCCGGCAGCCGAGACCAGGCTGGGATCCACGTACTTTCGCCGAGATGAAGTTTGGGGCTCCCGGGGCGGCCACGAGCCTCCCGCCGGCGTGAGGGCTCTGTTGTTGTTTTCCTCGGGCTGCTCCTGCCCGCGCCCCGGCTCCCGTGCCCCTCTCGGGCGGCGCTGCCTGTGTGCCGAGAGGTGCTGGTTGCAAACGCAGCCTGGCACCGGCTGGCCTACTACTCCCCAGCCCGGCCCCCAGCCTCCCGCCCGCAGGGCACTGCCTCCGCGCCCCCCGCCCCCCGCCGGCGCGGCCGCTGCGACCCTCGCCCCCGACCTCTCCCGACCCAAAGTTTTGGCGGAGGGGGAAAGTGCGGGAGGCGCGGGCCGGCAGGCTTCGGCTCCGGACGCGCGGGGTTCCCTCCGTCTTCCTCAAGTCCACCCTACCGGCTGCCGCCGCCGCCGCCGCTGCTCCTGCCGCGGAGTCCTTGGGGCTGCAGCCCGGCGGCTCGCAAGTGAGTAGGAAAACAGAAAGTGCGGGGAGAGCGCCCGAGAAGGGCTGGGGATGGGGGGCGCCTACCTCGCGGGCTCGCCGGGCTTGAGGGCGTGTGTGTAGCTCGCCCTCAGTGGCCAGTCAGGGTTTCTCTATGGGAAAGTGGAGAGTAGCTCACGGAGCCGCTCTGCCTCCGCTCCACTGTACACTGCTCCACATACAGTACATGCAACCCGGAGAGACTGAAAACACTCATTTTATATAAGGCAGCCTGCCATTGGCCCGTGCCGTGACAGACAAGCCGGCCGACCAAACAGAAGGCCCGTTACACCCAAACACACGCACACATACACACATTTTACAGAGACACACAAAGATCATCATATTTTCTATTTTCTAATGTTCGGGACCTGTAGACAGTAGGAAAGGACAGGTAGAGAGGCCCAGCAGAGTAGGGTAAGGGGGGGAAACCCTGTCTGCACCAAGTTGCAAGGCTTGAAACTGGTGTCCTTTTGACTTGGGAGGGTTATAGTAATAAACTACAACTCCACTGGATATGGAAGTGAGGGTTTGTTTTTTTTTTAATCGCTGCCGTGTGGTGCCCCATGGAAGAGACGTGCATTGTGTTACGATTTACAGCCCGACCTGGCTAACAAGTGGCCAAAAGGCTGTTATCAGCTTAGATTCCTTTTGTCAATGGGTTAGCTATCACATAGGCCAAAATAGTGCAAGGTAAGTTTATTAGGACTGTGATGCATTGAGGTTGTTAATGCCTCATTTGTAGGGAAATTCCGAAAAATCAACACAACTGTACACAAACAAAAGTACTCATTTTCTAAAAGAACCAGTCTACTTTTAGCTGGTCAGAGGACCGCCAGTCACCTGTGTGGTGAGACAAAGATGGAAGTCATGGAAGATGGCTATTGACCCTTTTGCTCAAAAATGGAATATGTGCAAGATTTAGATTTTGTGTATTATATCCCTATGGTTTTTAATTATTTCACATAATGCGTGAACATCACGTTTTTGGATGACCCAAAGGCTGTTGTTTGTTCTTGCTCATTTTTTTTTCCTATGATGCATCCTTGACAGATTATATTTGACAATCTAATATAAAGTCAACAGGTTGCTGAAAAAAAAATACTAGACATTAGGAGGAATAAATTCTAGACCCAGCTCTTGAACTAACTTAAAAATGTTGAGTGATTAGCCTAGTTTCTTTAGTGTTCAAAGTTGGTTCTGGATTTTATTTTCATTTTTTGTCTTGAGCTTAAACTAAGAATCCATCCCCAGATTCCCTTCATTGTTAATTCAGCATCTACTGTGTGCCAGGCAGTAATGTTTCCTAGTTTCTTTTTAATATTTCTTCTGATTTAGAGTCTGTGAATTCTTCTTAAACTTACACATTTTGAAGACTAATGCTATAATTATATGGCCTAAATGCATGGCTTTAAAATTTAAAGGAAAGATGAAAAAAGAACTTATTTTAAATACCCTTTTTATTTCCCCAATGTCATCTTCAGGATTTTTGCTCACATCCATAAAGTTATCAAATGAGTTTGCTTGTGTGTAAGAGTGGGAAAGAAAAATACATACAGAGAAATCCAAGTGTACAAAGCTTTAAAAAGTGTGATGTTCATTTATTTGTGCAAAGGAAAATAATTTTTAAAAATGAAAAATATATAAGTTCAGTATTGTAATGTGATAATATTAAATGCTATATTCAAAACGATCTCATTGGTTGGAAGGAACAAAATGTTCCTTTTCCACACTACATTACTAGAAGGTCCTTGCTATGTGTTATTGCCTCTTTTACCCATAAAAGAGATGAGACAGGGATAAATTATGTAACCTACTTGAATATTAGACAGAATACCAGTAGAGAAATAAGGGAAACCTGGTTATAACTTTGTTATAACCAGAACAATCGTTGAGTAACTGGACAGTCCTTACTTCTAAATGACAAACCTCCAGACTAACGGCAGATGGAGGAAAAACTAGAAAAGCTTTCTCAAGAAAGCTTTTGAAAAGAAAAAAAATTAATGCAATTTTCTATCTTTAATTGCTTAATGCTTTGAATTACTTGCTAGTATGTTTAATTTACAAAAAACTCCCTCCACACATCCCCAACCACAGAAAACATTACTTCTGTGTGGTTGCAAGTTCTGTCTTTGTTGAATCCTAGATGTAAAGGATGATATAACGCTATGTCTCTGGTTTTCAAACTTTCAGATCATATACACTGCTATCCATAAGATGTTTGAGCATGTACCCTTAATGGTTGCATATTTAAGTGTATTTTTAAAAAGTACTTTGCATGCTACATTATTTATTATTATAAAGCACAAACACACACAAAAACTAGGCCCTGAGATAAAAATTAAAATGTTAAGTAAGAGTTTTAAATTTTTCTCTCCACACTCCTGTAACACTAAGTTTGAAACTTAGCACATGCCCAAGAGTTTCACATTCCAGTTTGAAGACCTATGACAGCACAAAGTTCTAACTAACCAGGGCTGACGCAAGAGAGCATGAAGCAGCACACAAGTGCCCCATTGGAAAAACCAGTGGGTCCACAGAGTCTTCAGGTTGGGAAGACACTTTCTTTAAAAATATATATATGCTGGTGCTACATTAGGTAGGCATCATTCGGTATTCCTTTGCAAGCCAGTTGCTGAGAAGAGTTCATGTGCTGGGCACCAGTGCATGCCATCTTCCGGAAAAGGAAATTTACCTGCTCCTAGGAGAAGTGATGGGATCTAATTTCAAGGTCTTACTACTAAATAAGGGAAGGATAATACTAAATTCAATGTAGTATTTTACCATTTAAAAAACACCTTCTAGATTTTTTATTTTCTTATTTAAGAATAAGAAGACATTTTTAATGCCAGCGATGCTCAAAATTTTAAAAATTTGATAATGAAAAATCACAGTTTCATAGAGTTATTTTATTTCTAGAATGTAGGGTTATAAAAATGACAGCAACAATTGGTTCCCTGGGTAAAGTGGCCTTAAAAAGAATCTACATTTTTCCCTTTTTGCCCTTACATTTCGCAATCAATTCCATGTTCAGCTCACATGGTTAACAGATTCTTCCTTCTCATTCCCTTGATTGTCCATGTTCTTGATTTTATTTTGTAATAAACCATACAGAATAATTTTGAGAGGTAAATTTAAATACTTATATAAATATGTTTAAGTGTATATATTGTTTAAATATGTCTATAATAAATATTATTTTATTTCCTTATTTATACACTACTTCTTTATACAGTCCTAATTCAAAATCCTGATTTCACTACTTCCTAGCTATGTAACCTTGGAAAAATTCCCTAGGCATTTTAAAACTCAGTTTTCTTGTTTTTAAATAGGTATAAGAGTAAACATAAATCAAGTAACTCAGACCTAAGTTGGGGACATACTTCACATTCATTAAATAGTATTTTTATTTCTTTTTCACAGGCCAGTGACATCTGCTTTACAGAAAGTTTTCTAAGACATAACCGTCATATCAAATAGAGTTTATGGAACCTGTTGCAATGTTACCTGTGTTTGCAGTTACCCTTTAGCCTACATTCTTCTAACTTCAGTATCTCTACAAATGAAAGAACCTCAACCTGATTCCAGCATAAAGCAAGCATACTATTGGGTGACCACTATGAAGCACCTAGAAAAGCAAACTTGTAATACTCTTTGAAACAATTCTTGTTCTGAGCATGAAAGGAGTTAGTTTCAGTGATAGGGTCTGCCTTACATTACTGTTTTTGACATGTACCTGACCTTGCTCAGCTTCACTTTTTTTTTTTCCTTAGGAGGAGAATAAGGAAAATCATACCTCTCTTCTCAAGGCCAATGCAAAGGAACTAAAAATTGCACTCAGGAAGTTGAGTCATTTCTCAACATCAGTGCAAAAATTCATAATCTTAAAGAGAACCGGATTCCACTGGAACCCACCAAAGTTGAAGATAAGAAAGAGTACAGTGATGCTAGGCCAAATTCATGGATGACCATGAGGTAGTGAAACAGAGGGATCTTTTAAAACATGAAAATATCGAAGAAGAAGGTTAAATGATTCCCATAATATTATACAACTAGTAGCAGAGTTAGTTTACTTTTAACATCTAGTTATGCAAGCTTTCTGCCTTTGTGGGATTGTGGATGTTACATCCCAGTGTGAACTGGGATGCCTGTCTGTGGGTCCTCACTCACACACTTAAAATTTAATTGTACTGCAGGCACACACAAAAGGGTCAATAATGGGTTTATTTTCAAAAGGGGGAAGGAAAAGGAACAACCCAGAGAAAGAGAGCGAGATACAAGGTACCTAGAACATCCTACTAGCTTGGCTGACTTGGAACTCCACCAGCCACACAGTCCCGAGAGCAGTAGAAAATGGCCGCTTATTTATCCCCCAAAGTCCCAGAATGCCTGCTTAGCTCCGCCCTTGGGTCCTCACAGTTCTCTCCCTGGTACTGCTGGGAGTTGTAGTTTACAGTCACTGGACTAGGGGTTGGAATCCAGAAAGCTGGAGTAGGAGGGTGGAGTCCATGAAACTCTGCAGTGTTCCTTTAGGACATCCTTTACCCTTAACATGGGGAGAAGGAAGTCACCAAGCAGTCACTTAAGGATCATACTGTAAAAATAGGTCTCTAAGTGGACAATGATTTTACACTAATGGATTTGATAATAAAGTCTGCAGCACTGGCATTAGCATTAAATGGTCCTTCTAGCCATCATCTCATTAGAAACTTCAACATCATCTCTAACAAGGAACCAAACAGTGTCTGTGACACATCCAGCTCCTGGGAACTCCCTTCTTCCCAAAACAATCTATTCTGTCTTCTGAAAGTTTTGACCATTCCACATTTCTTCCCCATATTTAACATTTCTTTCCTCTTTTAAGAGTTAGCCATTGTTCCTTTTTCTATTTCTTTTTCTAGTCCATCAGAACCACACAAAACAGTCTAATCACTCTTCCATGTGGCTCTTAAAATTTGTAAGACAGCTAGCAGGACTACCTATTGCTGAGAGTTGTGCATTTTCCAGGCACACAATCCCTATCTGAAAACATTCTTTTCGGGTTCCATTTTCTACTGCTGGTCTCCTTTCAGATCCCTGCCTATTGTTTTTGCTGTGTACAAAGTTGACATTGATACAAGTTGAGTATCAACAGCAGGTGGGGGCTGAGGCAC